TGTGTGTGTGTGTGTTCAAGGTCTCGCTGCTGCAGGAAGTGGCTGATTGCGCAGCAGGAAGTGTTTCCTATCCAAGTCTGAAGCGATGAACATAAACAGAGAGAGAGTTTACAAGGAGAACACACACACACACACACACACACTCCAGAATAACAGAGTTACATAATCCACACACACATTCTCTGGCTTGGAGTGTGCTGATTATCTTGAGTGTAATCACACACACATACACGCACGCACGCACACACACACACACACACACACACACATACATGTATGAGGTGTGTGTTTGTCGTCTTGAGTGCGCACACACACTGGATTGAGGAGTGTACACGGGTATGAGGTGTGTGTTGGTCATCTTTAGTGTGTACACACACACAGGCGTGAGGAGTGTGTGCTGGTCTGAGGTCAGTCTGCAGCTCTTCCTGCTGTAGGTGCAGTTTCCTCCATCACTGACCTCAGACCTGCTGATAGTCTGGAGATCAGCCCGCAGGACCTGTGTGTGTGTGTGTGTGTGTGAGAGAGAGAGAGTTCTGTTTCTGGAGCAGACTGAAGCAGGAACTGTAGAAGAAGAACCACTTCACCGTCTACAGCTCACACACACACACACCATCTCCTGACGTGTGTGTGTGTAACTCTGCATCAGAGCTGATCTGAGCTCAGTGTGTTTGAGGATCTGAGATGAGCAGAACACACACTGATGGTCCGGGGTGGGCACTGATACACTGAGATGTGCTTTAAAGTAACGGCTCAGTGTTACGTGTGTCTTAATAAACTAGAGAACACACACACACACACACACACACCGCAGTGAAATGCTGCATGCTGTCTCCTGCACACATGTGAGAGAGACGTTTCTACACACCTTCATCAGTGGCGTCACCATTACTCTGACCCGTGGAGAGCTGGACAGAGTTACCCACTTTTCCAGCATATGTTTTACACAGCGGAAGCCCTTCCAGCTGCAATCCAGTACCGGGAAACACCCATACACACTCCTCCACACACTCATACACTACGGCCAGTGTAGTTGATCAGTTCACCTATAGTGCATGTGTTTGGACTGTGGGGGAAACCGGAGCACCCGGAGGAAACCCACACCAACACGGGGAGAACATGCAAACTCCACACAGAAACACCAACTGACCCAGCCGAGACTCAAACCAGCGACCTTCTTGCTGTGAGGCGATTGTGCTTCCCACTGCGCCACCGTGCCGCCCTGCTGCTCTGGTTTCAGTATGATGTTGGACACACACAGGCCCGTGTTGATGTTCTCTGATGGCTGCAGCAGCGTGAGGTTCAGATGAGGAGCTGGACTGTAGAGCTGCGTCTCCTCCTGTTGTTGGCCAGTGGAGCTGACGCCAGCCTCACCTGCATCATTCTCTAA